TACACGGACGAGGGGCTTGGAAACAAGGCAGACATTGACCCAATATCTGCTGCAGATATTGGCTTATAATGTCAACTGTACACGCTAATGTACTTTGACCGTATGCCCTCGACCTGTCAGAGTTTTCATATTAAGTCCAATGTATTATAATGCAAGTTATACTATTGCCATCCATGTAAACTTTCTGCACTGTTTGAGATGAATTAGTATACTCTTAAGTTCATGCGCACTAAAACACTTTTGGAGTACCAGATGAAGCGCACTGACGACTGATACAAATTCAATCAGCCTGGCTTTCAAGTCTCAAGCATTCCCCATTATAAATAAGCACCCTGCACTTCTCTTTTACAGTGAGCCCCCGCGTGGTAAATAACCCTCCAGACGTGGTTCGAAAAAGTATCCGCCCTCCCCCCCCCTCCATGTGGTTTTGCCTTGCAGTGGTAAGTGGTTAAGAAAATGTACTTCTAACTTTGTTTTTTTCTCCAAATATTATTTTATTAGGAACCACATCGAAGACCAAAGCCTGAAAATACTCTTTGAGGGAGGTCCACCGATGTACCTTGGATTTCTCCTTCACGTGTTCCTTTACTTTATGGTACTAGCAACAAGACTTAGGCACAGTGCAACGTTAGATATTCCATTAGATTAACGGTAGAAGCTGAACATATGCGATCAACCATTGAGTTAGAAATCAGAGCAATTTTTGGCTCCAAAGCTAACCAGATGTGAGAAGAAAGTGTGGTGTGTGTTGTTGCGAGGTCAAAGACTGCGTGATTCATCGCTTTTTTTTCAGAGCCTTACAGAATTCTGGACCTGAGAGATCGAGCTCAGGTCTCTTTGGATGAAATTAATGTATAAGCTAGCTAGATTTTTTTCAGCACACGAGTTAATTTTGATCACAGTTTGTTGTTACCATGTACGCATTGCAGGCCTATTATTTTTCCCTCCCTAATATTGTCACGTGAGAGAGTTGTCAAAGGCATTGTGACCGCCATTTTGAATTTTGTCCACTGTCTATTAGTATTCTCCTTGTAAATCTTTAGACACTGTACTTATTTGGATACCAGATTTACTATTCGTTCGCTGCATGTCAGCGAACAAAACGGTAGGTAAGTTCATCGCATTTTTAGATAAAGATTCCAGATATTGGAGCAGTTTATTGACATTTATATTGATCGATTTAGCTGTAGAAAACCGAATCTTATCTAGCCTAATAGTAGGAAGCTCAGTTGTAACTATTGGAAGTTATATTTACTTGTAGAATAAAGTATCTATTCTTTATCGTGGTTAGCGTTTTAAACGCTTACGCTCAACCTGCGCAGTGTTGTTATTACAATGAAGAACATAAGTTCAAAGTCGCACAATAAAAGCTTGTAACAACACAACAAGTCATGTTACATTTGACATCGCGTGGAGTGGATTGTTGATAACGTGTGGTGGCTCTCTTCATTTAACCCTTTAACTCCCGGAAGTGATGAACATGTAATTTCTCCCTAAAATATCCATGCATTATTAAGTTTAAGTTTTAAGTTTAGTTTAAGTTTAATTTA